ATATATATATATATATATATATATATATATATAGGTGCTAAGTATATTACATGTGGGGCTATCCCAGGCTATTCCGTTTTGTACATTACATTTGTATAAAGTGTGATTATTCACTTGTTTTCAGGGCAGATTAAAAATGGCTCAGGAAAATTATTTACATACCAGCCCTCTTTCACAAAATATATCTAGGGATTTGACAAAAAATGATTAATTTTAACATGCAACTAACCCAATTAGAAACAATAATTTTATTCCATGCACTTGTACATGTGAAAAGTACAACAATTTTCATGATATGGTCACAGAGGTTGATTTTATGAATAAACTTTATCTTTTTTACCTTTAAATATTTTAACACCAATATTATCACACAGATGATAGCCAAGATAGAGCAAGTATTGAAGTGTAATCAGCAGTGGCGTGCAGAGCTTCTATGATGCCTGGGGCCTTGTACCTAAGACCTTGAGGAAAGGCGGAAATGGTTCTACTATTCGATTCGACTCTTTGTGTTGGGTATGGATGCCTGGGGCCCCGGCACCTTTCACCCCCCCTCTGCATGCTACTGGTAATCAGAATGATAGGTACATGGCTATTAAAAAAACATCAGTTTTGACACTTGAGTAATAGAAATAGGATCAAAGTTGTGGTTGTTTGAAATCTCTAGTCTACTTTGTTTTTACTAAAAACATTTCATTGAAATCTCTAGTCTACTTTGTTTTTTACTAAAAACATTTCATTAAATAATAATGTGTTTATACAACACCATATTTCAAATTAACTTTTTTAGAAAATCTCGGTCCCCTTCACCATCATCGTATAGCCGACGAAATAGTTCACGTTTCTCCACGGAAGAGAACCGTAAGTTTGATTCAAGGTGAGAACTTTCAAACTATGGCATGTTTTTGTTTATTAATGGTCATTCTGTACAATATGTTTGAACTTGAAGAGACTAGATTCTTAAAATATGATGGTGTATAAAGTATTTTTTTAGTTTTGAATGAACATGTAAAATTATATTACTGTTACTTTTCATTTAGTGTACTACAACATGTTGTGCTTTCAACTTGAACATCTGTTACAATATTAATAGATGTAATTACAAAGATATGAACAACAATACTTTTGTAGCAGAACTTTCTTTATGAAGAAACCCGTAAATAATGTCAATTATATTGTCATATATTTTGATAAAAGGAGAACTAATTATATTTAGATTAAGTGTTTTCTCCCAGAATTCAACTTGACATAAATAATTTGGGTTTTTATCCTCACAGTACAATTTAAAACTCCTAAATTAAAATTTTGTTTTCTTAAGTTTCTCTTACAACAGTAAGTAACCTTCCAACTTATGGCTGTAACAACTATTAGTATTGGTAGCTGCCCTATCCAACAGGTTTTGAGTAATTAACACACCAGCAGCAGGTATTCAAAGCAAAGTTATAGAACAAGGTACAGAGGAAAGATGAAACATTAACCAAACTTGAGGAAGGCTTGCCCAATTTATCGTACCTAGACAGTTCGTATGAAATGATGAATTATTTGACATGTGATCAATTTATAGTTGCCATAAAAGACAAGGGTATGTGAATTGCACTGAATCACACCAGATTTAGATCTTAAAGAAGGCTCTGAAAGAAATAATCAGATGGTTAGTTAAACAGAACAGAGGAAATAAATCAAAAGATAATAGATGTTTTACATGTAACTTCAAGGGAAATATTGTCAAGAACTGCAGGCAAGGACCTTTATGGAATAGAACTCTCAAAGATACCAGAAAGAGGTAACTGTTATAATTGTGGGAAACCTAGTCATTATAACTGATACTGTAAGGAATCAACAGTTGTTATCAAGCCCAAGAAGATCAAATGAACAACACAAAGCTGGATTTATGAAGCAAACTTGAGCTGGAAATTCTCCACCTACTAGAATTTATAAAAGAAGTTCATTATATGAGAAAAATTGTCCACGAGTCCATGGGTTTATTACTACTTCCTTTGTTGACTACATACCTTTGGTTTTTCAGTTTGATATTAATATGTACTTTGTTCACTAGGTATGTTTAGCTGGTTTATAAGTTCTGTATTACTAGTATTAATGACTATTACTTTATGGTTATCTCTTTAATAGTAATTTAAATATAATATTTATAAAAAGTATTATAAATCAACCAATAAATAAATCATATATTACTTATAATAGTAATTTATTGTTATATCTGAATCATTGTTCAATATGACATATAATCCTCATCCTAGTAAGTGTTGGACATATTATTAGTATTTTTCATTTTCATTGCTGCATTACTGACATGTTCGTTTATTTACATTTTGTAGGGTTGACCTTTACTTTGGCTCCATTTCCTCATTTTTTTATGCTAGTCACCAACTTTTCTCAACATAATCTACATTTTGAGGTTTGTCTTGACATTACGCACATCGTAGTTAGTTATTTCTTGCTAGCAGTTAGTTATTATTCTGTTGTTTCCCTACTCTCTTCAAATGCTTTGTGACAATTTCAAGAACACAACAGTATTTTGTATTTTAATGCTAGTGTTGTTTTCTTAGGTTCTTCCACTTTGGTTTTTATCTCACTTGGGTTTGGATGCCTTGCCGCACCTGGAAGTTCTGTCTACATGCTTTTGCCTTTCAGGGAGTGGTGTCCTTGTCAGCCTTTTCCTACTTTCCTGGCTTATTTGGTGTTGAGTTTTGTTGGATGAGACACACTACTTGCGGGGGTTTGCCTCCCCATGTCTTCCCTCTCAGAATTCAAGCTGGCTCCATTTTTGCATAATACAGTTTTGGAGACCTGTTTTACTTCTTTTGGTTCACATATCAAGATTGTCATCTTGCTTACTTCCATTTTGTCTTTTACTTGCATGTTGATGTTCTCACCCCTTTCCCTCATTTTCCTGTGTCAGTCTTTGATGTTGAATGCGATATGGGTTTCTACGTGATGGAGTCAAATCCTATGGAGACTGGGTTTTTCTGCTTTGTCAACTTTTGGGAGACTTTCACTTCTGTTCCCTGAGCTTTATTAGTTTTTCAGAGTGTGAATTAACCTATTCACTACCAGTGGCCAGCTCCTCGATTATTGTTTACCATTCCTTTCCTTTCTTCACAGGATCCTGTCTCACACAATTGGTTGCCCTCTGTTGAGTGACTGCTTCTCTTACTGGCAGCTGTAGTGCCAATTTTTCCATTTTGGCATGGAAATTTCCTCTTGGCAAATAGTTGACCCCTCCTTGGCTGATGTATGGAAGCCTGTCATCAACCTCTTCTATATCCTTCAGCTTCTGGTTCCTCTTTGTTCCACCAGAGTGTTATTTCTGTCCGTTCATTGGTTTTCACACCTTATATATGGGTGTCCTTGTTCGACATAGTAGTTGCATCCATTCCTGTCTTCTTTTGGTTGCACATGACGGGGGGAAGTATGTTTTGGTTCTGGGATCTTCCTTTTGGGTTTCCCTCAGATCCTTTCTGTGTTTTTGTGAAGAGACACAAACTTCACTGAATCTCTACCAAGGATTGGATGTGGAACCTCATTTATCTGGTTGGGTTTGGAGACAATCTTCCTGCAATGTTTTCTGAGGCCTTACATTATTGGTTTAGTCCTTAATGCTGCCTGTTTTACAACACCTCACTTCTAGGGATAAGAGCACACCTGTTCCAGAAGTTGTGTGGTCCCCCTCATGTGTGCTTTCATTCAATTATGGAGCACACATGTTTGATTCCCTGTGGATGCTTTCCATAGGGAGTCTCTTACTTTAATGTTATACTGGTTCCTCCAACTTATAAATGTGGGATTCTAGCTTTTGTGTGAGCAGAAATATGTATCATATTGGAAGTTATCGTTTTCCTACATTGAAAATAGATTTCCGATAGTTATTTACCTTCACTCAAACAGTTCCCACCCTTCTACCCACTTCCAACGTGTTTCTATTTTCTGGTGAGGTACATGAAATGTAATATAGAGGGAGCCAGTTGCTCCAGGAGTGTCTGTTGTACTCCTATTGGTGGAGAGTTGTTGCATGTGATATGAATGCTAAGTGAGCAGCTTGAACTGAGGGGTATATAGGTGTATTAATGAGTTAGAGGGCAGATGAAGATCAAGAAAAAGCTTTTGTGTGGGGGAGAGGTAAGTATATATCTGAATCTATTTTCAGCATTGGAAAATGATAATCTTATGAATCGTAACACAAATCAGTTAAGCTGAACAACCTTGTATTAATCGAAAATGAGAAACCATAATAGCAGTATATCGATTGCTTGCATAGTTTGAATAATTGGAAACACTAATTTGGAATATTTGAATATTTCTTTCACATTAATTGATTTAATCATATTTTTGGTCAGTATTTTTGCATGAAACTAATTAACATAATCAATGCTCATAACTAATTAGTTCATACGAATAAGCTAATTACTCAGTTCTCTTGAGAGCTAGAAGCAATAAATGGTCACATAAAACACTGGAAGCTGCTGGACATGATATTTACCAATGTGATGTACCTTTTACAAGTATTATGTGACAGTTATCAGTGCTCTGTACAAATGCTATGGGTCTGCTCTCATACAAAACACAGAAGCTGATTCTGGTTTCTTCCAACAAAAGGAACTATCTAATACACTTCAACAGACTATAGAAGTTTACCACAAAAGAAGGCTGTGTGGAAAACTAAAGAATGTAGTAGGTGATGGTGCTCTGAACTTATCACAGCTTTCTGAGGAACTCTTGCAGTCATTTGCACTTGGTGTGTACCAGCTGAAGTTGTCTGATCCACTTACACTACCCTGGTATTGTCTGTGTTGTGTAGGAACAAGAACATTGGGGTAGGGGAGTATTAGTAATATGTTTCTTGAAACTCAAATGGCACAAGAAACACAGGGCTACCAAGACCAATTACCTTACTTGTAACAAACATTGGTGAGACAATTACCTTACCTGTAACAAACATTGGTGACACTTCTGACTGAAAATGGAATGTACAGGATTTGTGAAATGTGACAGTTTTGTATATGGGTTAATTTTATGTTAATATTTTTATGAAAGAAAAATCACTTTATAGCTATTTATTAGTTTATATTTAAATAAAACTAATACTTTTTTTTATAAGTGTTAGTTTGACAAATGATACAGGTCTTAAATTTTAATGATATTATCTTAGTTTTCATTTATGACTATTGCAGTAACAACACACTTCTATTCTTCACACTTTGGAGTTTACTGTTTCATTAAAACATAAAAAACACACTTTATATGGTGTGTGTGTGTAAATAATATTTTGTGTAAAGGTCAACTAAATATTCTATAATCCAGTAGTTGTTACTCAACAAATGTTTTTTGAGATAAATGAATTTCTTTTCAGAAATATGTCTCCATCAAGAAATGAAAAGGTTTTTGATCTCAGAGAAAAAATTGATAAAGCTCGACTATTGGAGGTGGCTCGTCAGAATGTGCTTAAAATGATTGAAACAGGAACTTTGCCCAAATATATCCCAGTGGATAGGTTAAAACATGAACAGCTTGTGGCCATTAAAGCGGGAGGCAAATCGGTAGCAGAGTTAACAGGTATTACATAAAACAGGTTGACGGTGGTTTTATTAGTGTAAAAAGTTAACATTATTCAAGGACACTGAATACAAAATGTATAACAATTGAATAAATCAAGTAAAAAATTTTATGTGGATAAAAATTTGTAATGCTCAAAAAAAGGGAAGTTCAAATCAACTTTTATCAGTATTCATCGATCAACTTCTACGGTTTTATTTGTATAACCACTACTTATATTTCAGATCATAATAGATGTTGATAACTTGTTTGATTTGTAAATTATTTACTGGTTTTGTGGCTTCTCCATTTTTCTTGAAATCCTATTTACCACTGGAGCAGATCAGGATTCTCCTTCACCATAAAATTCAATTACCATCATTGCTGTGGCCTTCAGGTATCATTTTTAACATAATGCGGTATTTAGATATCTTTTATAACATAATGTAATGATGAAAGTCTTCCGGATATCTCAGGAAATCCGGATATTTCTAAAAAATCCTGAAAACCTCCAGTTTTCTTCCTGAGAAACACATTTTTTAAAATTATTTATCGGATTTTGGTGTTCCATGCCATAGATAAGCGTTTATGCAATCGCACGGTTTGTTTACATTCGGCAACAGGGCGCCGCCATTTTGTAGTCTCGCAATGCTTGCTGGCATGTACGAGACCTTGTATGCTTATAATGCAAACTTCATGTCATGTGAACAAGATTTTATCTCGAAAACGTGCTTTAGAAAACGTGGTCATTCTTTTTTGTACCTTTCTATTGAGCGAGACAA